TGGGGGTGGGGTCACCCTGGGGGGGATCAACTTAATGGCCACTGGCTTTGGTGCCTTGACCTTCTTCACAAACCTACATCATTGCATTGGCAGAACTTTCTGTCTTCCCCCTCTCCGTCCGCATCCTCTCCTCAACTGTTGCAATCCAACTTTCCCCCCATTGTACGGCAATGGTGTTATCAGTCATCAATGACCACCATTCTTGCCAAATCCAGCCACCATTTCTCTGTCCTCATCTCACCCGGCATTGGCAGCGTTGGGCATGGTCAGGACAGACGCGCTCATTGTGGAAACCCTTGATACCTCAGGGTTCTGTGACGCTTTTCCACATACACTTTAGCTATCACTTCGCATCCTCTCTCTTTCCACAATCTTATTGTGGGAAACACAGGCGACCGAAAATTTGCCATGTTAACCATGTGTAAGTGGACAAGCCAGTGACATTCCTTGCACTCACCCTCTTGTGCAAGCAACCCCGTCCTCCATTTCTAGCAGCGTTCTATCCCCCTGAACTCAGTGCCCACTCAGACAAAGAACTTCCTGTTTCCATGCTCCCTTGAAGGCTCTACTTTGGTCTTATTTCTAATTATTAGCATGTCCTAATGATTAATCTCAGGCCCTCTCCTCTATTGACATTTGGTAGGATGTTATGACTCCTCAAATTCTCTCTTTGGTTTTGCTCTTCTCTGTGATCCAAAGCTCTAAATTCACCTGCGTATGAATACATTGATAGTCACAAACGATGTCATAATTTGACTTGGTTACTGACTAGGTCTTTCTACTCAAAACAGATGGTTTGGGTCAAGGCCCCCATGCCCCCTTCCCTGCCTTCTCACCCCAGACCCACTCCTTTTCACCTCCGAAATGTGACAAGTCATCCAGTAGTTAGGGTCAAAAGCTAGTGATCATGTTTGACGCCTTCTCGCCACTCCTCCCTCATCTGCTCCACCAGCCAATTCTGATTGCGCTTTCTCCACAGCGCACTCCACCCGCAACTTCTCAGTGTCCAGGACAGCACAACCACAGCGCACGGTTAATCCCCTCCTGGCTGGCTGCAGTCACCTCCTAACTAACCCCCATTTCTCATCTGACAACCTAATGGTTTGAAGGGGCCCACACAATTCTCTCCCAGTCCCGCTTGCCACGCTCCAGTGGTTTTCCACCGCCACTAGAAACACATCCCAGTTCTGGGCCACAGTCTACTGGGCACTTTACAGTGTGGACCTGGTCACTCTTCTCCCTTTCACGCTGTTCTGGACGGGTCTTCTTGCATGTTTCTTGAAGAAGGAAAACGCAATCCCACCTCAGGGCATTTGCACTTTCCATTCTCCTCCTAGATGCTAGCTACTGCACGCACGGTTGCACACCCATTTCCCTGTTTTCTGCACCCATGTCATCTCCTCACAGATAGTTCTCCCTGAGCACCTGAGCCAAGGATCATCCATGCTGTCCCCACGTTGCCGGATCCAATTACTGTTTTGCTTTCTTCATATTACTTCCACATGCAATGATCTCATTTGTTTACAAAGCCTCCATTGCCTACTTCTCTAGGACAGCGGTGACCCTTTGAGCAGAGCGACCCTGCCTCCGTGGCAGCTGCACGTACGCACAGCATCTAGCACTGTGCCCCCTCAGGAAAGGTGGACGGCCTGCTTCACGACGGAAAAAACAACACAGATACAGGGTGTAGAGGATGCAAACAGTATTGCCGGCCCTGTCACGGGCAAAATACTATTGGTAACTTTTCAGTCTATCCAATTATTTTAAAGAATGCCATCCATGCTAAAAGGCAGCATCACACATGCGTTCTGTAGGATGCTTTAAAAAAATGCCATTTCCTCCACGTGGTTTATTTTAATGCCATGAATTCTAACATCACAATCATACAGTATTTTATTGCTTATTTTAAAACTTGCAATTGGCCATGAATATTTTCCCTATAGGCAATAGTTTTAGAATAGTTTTCATCAAGATGTAATGTAATTTACTTCACTAGTCACCTGTTATTAGATACTTAAAATATTATTAAATTTTGCTGTAAAAAATACAGCATTGCAGGTATTCTGTAGAATGATGTTTAGATTTCTGGAGAATTTTGTCATTCAGTACCTGTCTGACCTTAGACAAGTTTTTGTTCTATTGATTTTCTTTTCTTTTTGTAGCTTCCCTTAAAAGAGATAATTCCTCTGTTGAGATATCAGGACATTAAATAGAATGATGTATATAAATGCCCTCAATACATTTTCAACGGATACTTATTATCATTTCATAGTTATCTGTCTGCAACTTCTATTTTCTTAGAATACCTGCAGGAAGTGAAATAAAAGTCTGGTCACC